AAATAACGATTAAAATTTTTTTTTTTGGGTAGAAATGCTTAAAAAATTAATACAATAAAGCTCCTCATAAGTTATTAATTTTTTAAATAAAAAATATTTAAAATCAAAAGTGACAATTTTTTTATAAGCGTTTAAAATTTAAATTTTCACCAAATTTGGGAAAATTATTAAATTATTTTGTAGTTTTAATACCTAATATTTAAAAATTTAATACAGCGTTCTCAGTTGTTCAACCTATGTGTAAAAAAATAAATACTATTGGAAATCAAATGAAACTAATGAAAATTTCAAGTTTAAATATTTACAACATTTAATATTCACCCATAAAATTTTTATTTTTTCTTAAGAAATTTTTGATATTTTATTATATTTATATAAAAAAGCAATAGATATTTGAAATTTTTGTTAAATGTATATACATATCTGAAAAAAAGTATTAAAAATATAAAAGCATACATTTTTTTTTATATGGATTTGAAGTGAAAATTTTGACAACATTTATTGAACTCACAAAAACTTACAAACCATTTTGTAGATAAAAATGTTTGTATCTAAATTTTGAAAATAAAATACAAGATTCCTCATCAGTATTAAATTGGAACAACATAATCTAAAAAAATATAAGATAATTATTTTTTTTAGACATTTTAATTTCCAAATTAGATGAAATCATATATTTAAGCGATAAATAACAGTATATTAATTTTTCGTTATGACTTAAAAACATTATTTGAGGGAACTTAAGTTTTCATATATAATATATTAATATGAATTTTACTATATGCAATAACATTTTTAATTTATTTTAAAATATTATCTATTTATAAATACTATGAATCTATTTTTACTGTTTTATGGCGTTATTTTGAGTATATAAGTAATCGTATATGGTATAATATATACTATGATAATTAAACATTAATAATAAAATAAATACAATATTTTCAAAAAACATTTTATAAACTTATTTTAATACTAAAAGTAAAATAAACGACCTTAATTGAAATGTATATCAAAAAAATATATTATGAAATATACTTTTGAATACAAGCTGATAGATCGTTTTGGCTCAGAATTGTTTTTTGTAAACAATGATATACCATTGAATTCAAATTTAATAGACCTTTAATAATGACCTACTCAACATCTAATTTACAACAGAATAATATTTACTTACTTAACTTTTTTTTTCAAATAATTTGATTGGAAAAAAGGGAAAAGAAGTGTTGAATGTATCTAATCATTGAAAAGGAAGTCACTGTGCAACATATGTTAAATTTAAATTCAATGATAATAATATTTTACCTTATGGTAAATTATACAAATAAAAATTTATACGAAAAACGATTCTTATTAAAAACAATCTGTCAATAATTGGTTTGATGATAAATCCTTATTTTACGCGTAAATATTCAATTTTATCAAAATTAAAATTTAACGGCTTAGAACGTATTTTTGAAGATTTAAGCTCATTTTTTTTTTTTTACTTTTACGATAAAATCTTATATGCAATTTTTATTAAATTTTTAAGCCCGAGTTTTAAATAATAATATTTTTACTAATTTTTTAGTATAAAATGATTTATACTTCTCATTATTTTGATAAATTTTGTCCAAATAATAACCTTAAATGCTTACAAATAAATATTGTAATATGTATTTTTGATATTTTTAATTACATTTTACGTAAATTTTATTCTATTCAATATGATGTGTTATAGTTATAAAAGTAAATCATTATACGTTAAACTTAAAAATTTAAAATTAGGTACAAATGAATACAATTAATAATTCTCAGGCACTTTCCATGGTCTAACAACATCAACTTTGGACACTATCCAGGCAGATAATTTATTTTCTTTATTTTTCACTTTAAAAACCATCTTATATTTTCCATGAAAGTAAACTTTGTGTAAAATATTGTCTTGCATTGTTTTTATATCAAATCCTGTCGATATAAAAGTCCCCTACAAATATTCAATGCCTTATTTTAGTTTATAAGTTATAGGCATAATATGATATATTATGTTATATATTAGAGTAGCGTTTCTTATACTGTGTTCCATGGAACCCCGGAGTTAAGTAATTCTTTAAATACTTTCAAGAAAATTACTTTAAAATATCTAACTAAAGATTAGTAGCGACTAGTGGGGAAAAAAAAATGTTTGTATAATTTTCATCAGTAGAGTCCAATATTAAGAATATTTATATTAATAAAGTGTGTGTGTGTGTGTGTGTGTGTGCTGTGTATATATGTGTATATAGCATTTATAGCATAACATATTAATACATTTTTTATTTCATTATCCCAACAAAAGATTCTTAAAATAAAATTTGAATTTACAATTATTTTAGTATTTGCTTATTAGTTGTTAACTATTTTTGCAATTCTTTGATAGAAAGGTTTTCTTACTAATTATTCATTAAGTAGAATTATATTATTAGTTGGTAGCTGTGAGTCTTATAAGATGGTTACGACCATTCAAATTTATTATTGGTGTCTTACAAATTTACAATAATATAGCTATTATATTTAAAATCATCGCACAAGTTCAATCAAAATATATCATATGTCTAATATTACTTTTATAAACATTGAATATTACAATATTCATAGCAATGGATAAGCTAATTTTGAATTTAATGATAAATCAGTGTAAATGAAAAGCGATTTAAAGTGAAAATGGTATTGTAAACACTCAACCTAAATGGCCAAGATAATTTACTATGTAATGCTTATATGAATATTAAAGTAAATTTAGCTATTAATAATGCGGCATAAACTATTTAGATGCATTCGTTTAAAATTAATTTAAATATTGTATACAAGTTTAATAAAATCTAATAACATTCGTAATGTTATCAAATTCCAATGATTTTTTGTTACGTTTGAGAGCATATTAAACTTAACCTTACCTTGTCAGCTGAAATTTTACAAAACAATTTATTCACAATGATTCATGCACGAGTGAAGTCCTTAAATTACGTATAAGAAGTATTTATTTGATTGATTTTATATATGTAATCATTTAATTTAATTCATATCGTTATCTCATATTTTAATAGTTTTTACATATTTTACCTACACCTATATTTACATTATTATTTCATAACATTACTAAAATAGAAATTTTTAGAAGGTATTGCTTATTCAAATATATATTATATCAAAAGAAAATAATTTGTTGATACTCAAATAATTTAAATCTATAAGATAAGGTATGCACAGCTATATATTTTTATTTTATATTTCGATACAGTAAACTAAACTTTGATTAAGTTTTTACGCATCACATAAAATGAGATTATTATTTCTCATCAATATTACTCGCACATTTTGTTTATTTTAAACAATTTATTGAATCTTGAAAAGTTATGATAAAAGTATAATGAATTAGCATTTGTTATTTAAAATATAATTTAAGTAATTATGTGTGAATAAAATGGACCCAAAAACCGAGGAGGTACCGTATCTGTGATTTGGTCAGTTATAATCGCAGATATATCTACTCAATTATCTATAAGTACTATAGTGATATGCCGCGACTATATTTGGGAGACTATTTCTATTCCGAAAAATAATTAAAATGGCATCATCATGACAAATATATTTATTTTTATACTTAAGATATTTTTATTTTTCAAACATTTTTTGTTATTTGCTATTATTCAAAGAATATTGAGCGTAGAAACTTTAAACATTCCACTATTACCACTATTAGGTACCTCAATTTATTTGTGTAAGGTTGTTTTTTTTTTTTTGTTGGTATAACTCAAGAGCAAATAACCGTATAAATATTTGAAACTTTCACCAGATATATATGTATATATATTATTAGCATTTAGCACCTTAAAAGATAAATTGTTTTCAAAATATTTTGACTTTTTTGAGCTAGTTGTAGACATAAAAATTTTTTTTCAATTATTGTCAATATAAAGTTTTCACTTATTTGAAAAGCTTGAAAATTTAATGTAAGGTCCTTTATACATTTTTCATATGTCAATTTAAAAGTATTTATAATACATTGACAAAATATTTTTTTATAATTATTACATGTTAAAATTTTGACAAATAATATCAATATATCGCAAAAATTTTCAAATTATTTTACAGTTAAAAACGTTTATAATTTTAAGTATTGAATATGTAAACATTAAAATGTAATATAATTTTAGTTATTTTCAAAACCCCTGCAGAGCAATAACAGTTTTAAAATGTTTGAATATATTTTAAAATTTATTACGACCAAAAAATGTTTTTAAAACATATCTATTTGTAGTTTCTAAAATCAAATTGCAACTTACAAAATATTTTTGGAATATTCTGCATGAAAAAAATAAATATTTTAAATACTTTTTTAAAATGTGTTTTTGTCGAGTATAGGAGTTATAGTGTTATATCGTACATACCTATTACGGATATACAGGAGTGGCTTAAAAATAAATATTTATGACCAGGGAGTATTACAAAACATTAAAACCTTTTATATTTATAGTGTATGTTTGATAAACAAATTCAGTTCGCAGCACTATTCTGAGACATGAAAATGTTACACATGCTCTGCAGTTTTTTATCAGAAGTGTTTTTCGTTACACTGATTTATTATTCAATTCAAATTAAACATCAAAACAAATCCACCTGCAATCGAAATATTCCATGTACTAGAATTATTGTGTTCCTGGCTTTTTTTTCATATAGTTTATTAACATATTATAATATAGTACGACAAATGCACAATATCTATAATATGTTTAACAATATAATATGGAGTAAATAAGTCAATAAGTGTATTAGTATTTGATAATATATATTATATATTACATTTGTCTATTAGCTTTTTAAGTTTAAAAAAAAAATGCAATATCATTAATTAAACAACATTATAATAAAATATAGTATTTATAACCAATAGACGTAGGTAATAGTGGTAGTACCTATGGAATTTTATAATCACTAATAATTATAATGCTCTGTATAATACGTATTATTATGTTTGTTACCGCACGTCGCCTGAAATGTTGCCGGCTGTTGTATTCGTCGAGCCGCGGTCGTCGTGTCTTCATGGGATCCTGGTATGTCGGTGGCGCTTAAGTTGACGATCTTCATTTTTGTACCCAGTATTTGCATAAAATCAATCAAAACAAAATAAAATTATTATTATTATTATTATTATTAATTAATTCAATTAAAAAAAAAAAAAGTATAAATATTTTCAAAATAATTACAGAAATCAATAAATAATAATAATAATAATAATAATAATTATTATTATTATTATATTACTATTCGATCATAATTTTTTATGTATTAATTGAAATTTGCAATACCTTAATTATTATCAAAACAAATTTTAGATAATATTTTTAAAGCAAATTTAAAAAATAAGGATATACGTATATTGAGTATTGACTAGAAATATGTATGAAAAATTGTTATGATAGTTAATTGTTATTGTGAACAGAGAAATCAATTGTTCATTGTCTTATTTATGATAATCTATTATTGATAACATTGTTTATTTATTTATTATTCTATTTTTACCCGACTGTGGAAGAAGGAGGGTAATGTGTTTAGGTTATAACTTTAAATGTTAACCCGCCACGACTATTCTCTCGGAAACGATGTGTGGTAACTTGTAATTTTTTTATTGTATGTATATTAAAAATTTAAAAACACATTATGATTAAAAATTTCTAATAGTTTTAATTTAGAGAGATGAAAATAAAGCATTGGCACTACCTTTTTTCGAAGTTTGCGCACACCTTTTGGTAGGACATACAGGTTTAAATGTATTATACATAGGCATTTAAAATAAAAACAAATCACAAAACCACGGTAATTTAATTTTTATTATTTTTATTTTTTGTTAGTATAATATGAATTAAAAATATGATTTTATTATTTATTTATGGGATCATGCATATTGATGTAAAAATATATCTGACAACTTATTTAATAAAATATTTTTCTAATTAACAAAGTAATAATTGTTCACATTATAATGAATTATGACTATAACCAACATGAAACATTAGACAGTGTCGTGTTTACCTAAGCAATATTAATTATTATTAAATAAAATTCGAAATTTTTAAATAATTAGACGTAAGCCTGTGCGGAACCACAGAATCTAATATCCACGTGCGTGTAACTAGACACATTAAATAATATTTTATTAGTATATTAAAAAATAAATGTCCTCGAAAAGTAGATAATTGAATATTGGATTATATTCATGAATTTATGTTGATAACAACTAACATGTTTTGTTAGTTTGATAACACACAATATATTAATACATTATACATGCAATATTACAATGTCATTATTTCGTAGGTACTTAATTAATTAATTGTTACTTATTGTTGACGACCATACATGACGTTAATATTTTAATACTCAATAACACATACATATATATTTTTGAGTGTTTTACATTGAAGGGGTTCTGTGGTGACATATTATATTTACATTATATTATAATACTTAAATATGCATGAATTAATAATTGTTATTGCCGTTATTGGAGACAATTTGGAGTATAGAGTATAGACGATGCGCAGTGTACACTGTACACCGTCACTGAATATCCGACGGCGCACAGTGTACACTGTACACCGCCACCGAATACCCAACACGTATTTCATTCGACTGCGAGTCGACCGACGGAATATTAGCGGCTCTATAGGAATACGAAAACGGTGACGCGGTGGTATGGGGCCCTGGTTATTTGGGACGGAAAAACAACCGACTGATCATGCACTAACATGCACTGCGCTACACTACACCGGAATACTGTTCGTATTATTATTATTATTATTTTGTACGATTACACCAAAACGTGGCGGCGAGAACATTTCACGCCTCCACATCGGTGCACGAGGCACGGTTAAATTTGTGTGAACAACGTTGGTTTTTTAAAGGAAATGGTGAAATGATCACAGATATTATTTTATCGAAAAAAAAAACCGGGGAAGTCGTTCTGCTGTATAGTCATACACGAACACACTCGTGTCATTTTATCGAGTAAGTCACTCTTTTACATGTAATATAATATATTTATGTTAAATTTGAATTCAATGGTAAACTATTGCATACAAAAATGATTCTAAGCGGAGACGGTCGTTGGCCTATATTTCTCAGAATGTATTATTTTTATAAGCTTAAATTGTAATTAATAGGTACAAATAGGTATGAATAATATTACAAATTTAATACGTTCATACATAGCTTAAAAATTAAAATACCGAAAAAAATTCAACGCTACATCATTGATAATATTTTGTTTTGTGAATTGAAAATGATAACTTGAGTAATGCTAGAATTTTTCTATTTCATACAAATAATATTTTTAGAATAATAACAATTAATCCATTTAAGGATAAATCGTTATTGTACATAATATTACGTTTAAATATCTGATTTTGAACAAATAAATAAAATAATATACGGTCTACCTAAATCGCTCATAAAATATGTATGACATTTACGTTAAACTTTTTTTTTAAATCTCCAGAAAATTTTTTTTGAGGAATCTTATTGTAAATTTTCAATAATTTTTTCTTAGTGAAAAAACTTGATTATAGTAATTGAATATACACTTATTTATGAAAAAATTTAAAAAGCAGAAAATTTCAAGTGTTTTTGAGGTTTAATAGTACAAAAAGTAAAAATATTTTGAAAATTATACTATGTCTAAAAAATATTGATATACTTAAATAATTGGTGAAAAATTTTTATTTTTCACCCCGCTTCTTTACATTATTATTTATTATATAATATATAATAAAACTACGTAGATACATTTCTTATGGTTATACCTACAAGTTATGTAAAAATTAATAACCGATTAGTTTTACTTACTTATATATAACACACATTTATCACGTGTTGGAATACATGTATTTTTGTTCTATCATACAGGTACATAATAAGTATAAACTCTAGCCTAAATTTTATCTTAATGCACTTTTTCTTTTGGGTTAATCAAATTTGATAAATCGTTGTAAAATTTACAATAGCAATTTAATAACTATGTGTATAATAATATAATATAGATACAATAACATGGTATTATCATTGTATTGTTTTCGGTTGTCGCGAGTGTAATAATATTGGTGGATATTTTGAGGTTAATACGTTATAATATAGAATTTCGAATTGACGTCATAGTTATACATTATTAATTATATTCGCCTATATGGCTATTTACAAATTAATTAATGTGTCGACGAATTGATTAGTAATAATATTGCTGAAACGAACTTGATTAGACGCGTCAGACATAATGCAATGATTTACCTTTGGCTTTTGAACAATCTGATCGGATGCAGGTATATAATAATTATAATATATTAAATACAATTTATATACACTGTATACATTATTATAAGCCAGAATTGGAAGTGGTGCTGTATATGGTAAATAACTACAAAAAGATACAGATGAATTACGTAAGCACACATTTGATTTTCTTGTCGCATCATATGCGTATCGAGTACTATATACTATATAGGTACACGTAATATTAAGGAGCTTTTGACTTTCATGATATACGTATTTTATTAAATATATAATGTATAAATGCACTGAATTGAAATAATCATTTTGAATTTTGATATATTATATACATCAGAAAAAATACTTATACATTAACATTATTAACAATACTAATTTTTAAATCCAAATCCAATTCCACAGAAATGTTTTTTTTTCACAAGAATTTGAGAGGTCCTACAACTTATATTTTGACCTTATACCATATTATGTAAGCATATTATTGTGTGATTTGTATTTATATGAAATTATGTCAAGAAATCATGTTTCACAATTCACAATTTTTCATAAGAAACTGTATTTTATTATTCAACATCGATAGTAACTAAAACTACTACAAATCATTTACGGCCATGTGCGAGGTTAAGTGCGAGTGAAGTAGATTCGTAATTATTGACAATTCGTATTTTAGATTTTGAGCGGAGCGATGAATGTGTTGATTTTACAATGATGTATGTAATTTTTACTTCAATTCTCAACTTTGAGGGTGATTTTGGATAGAAAATTGAATCTAGTTTGTATTTTAAAGAGGTCAAATTAAAAAGTTCATTACTTTTTTTATAATCGGGAAAAATAAATAAATAGTTAAGGAAAATGAGAATTTCAACACAAAACCAGTTTTTAACTAAATTGATTTATTTTTTTGTTTTTATAATTCACAAACAAATAACCGTAATAGCTTGAAATTTTCACTATTTTCTATGCACCTACCTATGATATAATTTTCAAAATATCTTAACTCTTTTTCAGCTATTTTTACATAGTTAAAATTAGTTTTGAAATTGTATGAATAGGTAAAAATTCTTTATAATAATGATACAATATTCTAAACAAGTTTATGATTTTTCAGTTAAAATGTATCATCAATTTATAATTTTATAAAAAGCTTTTAAAATTCATAGTATTTTTTAAAAGCATTTAAATTCATAAACGAATTTGACAAAATTTGTCAAAAATTACAATTCACTTTGTAATTAGAAATTCATAACAAATTTTCTGTTAACAATTAAGATTTAAAAATTTAATACAATGTTCTTTATACGTTTTCAAATTTATATAAAAAAAATTTTTATAGCAACATTATAATAATTATTTCTTCTCAAATGATTTTGTTTTTTGTTGTAACTTAAAAAATGAATAACAGTCCATATTTGAAATTTTCATAAAATATTTATACTATTATTATCTATACGTCATGGTAAAATTTTTAAATTTTTTTTTGAGCTATTAATAGGCATGGCAAACTTTAAATTTCTTCTAGTTTTTCTTTTACGAATGTTGATAAAAAATTATTCACCTAGTAAAAATTCTTGAAAATTTTATACAGGATCTCACATTAGTTGGTCTTATATCTATAATTATTATAAAAATACATAAGCACAAATTTTTTCTTTTTGTATTTGAAAAAAGAATTTTGACAAAACTATTTAAACTTTAAACAATGATTAATTATTATTATTTTTTTATGTACATAATTTAAAAACATTTATGTATGGACTTATATATATATAT